GAAATTGTGGTACATTCCCACTATGGAATACTATGTGGCTCTCAGGAGCAACAATTTGGAAAAATCCTACATAACTTAGGAGAGACTGGAGAGCATTTTGCTGAGTGAACAAACTCTGTCACAAGGCTGAATAGTGCATAACTCCATTGTAAAAACTGAAGGATAACTAATAAAACATGCGTGAGGACTTAACAGAGAAATGGGTAGGTACAGAATGGTGAGAGTGGGCAGAGGGAAATCACAGGGTTGCGCAGTTTGGTGGGGGAAGAGAAGGGATAAAGGAAATGGGAAAGGTGCAGCAGAGACAAGAAACAAAATATGGGGTAATGGTGGGCATAGTTTAATGGTGATTAATTTCATAAAACACAATGGATAGGAATGATTGTATAAAACACAATGTGAAAGAAGAAAAATGTGAAAGACAATGGATACAAATTTTGTATGCAAATCAGTATAAATTAGAAAAAAAAAACACCACAACACAACAAAAGTGTTCGATCTAGTAGCCCAATTTAGTATAGTAGCAGGATATAAGCTTAATTTAAAAAATAATCAATGAGTTCTTTAGAATAACAAAGAAGAAAGGAGAAAGTAAACTAAGGAAGCAATACCATTTACAATATCCAACCACAAACTGAAATTCTTCAAAATAAACCTGATGAGAGTCACAAAAGAACTTTAAAAGGAAAACTACAAAACACTAATACAGGAAACAGTTAAAAGACCTAACTAAATGGAAGGATATTCCCTGTTTGTGGTTCAGAAGACTCTATATGGTGAAAATGACAATTCTACCAGAGGCAATGTGCATATTTACTGCAATCCCACTACAGATACAAAACTTATTTTTCAAAAGAAAGAAAAGGTAATGTACAAGTTTATTAGGAAAGGAAAGAGACCCACACCTCCCTAGTAAGCCAAACTTTTCTGAGAGAAATGAAGTGAAGAGTCATAGCATTTCCCAATCTGAAAGTTTACTACACAGTTGTAGTAAACAAAACAGCATGGTATTGGTACAGTAATGAATATATTGACTGATGGAATATAATTGAGATCCCAGAATCAAACCATCTATGAATAAAAGCCTGTCAACTGGGGAAACGACAACCTTTTCAACAAAACAGTGTTGGAAAAACAGGGCAACTACATGCAGAAAACTGAAACAAGAACCACATCTCATACCATACACAAGATCAACTCAAAGTGAATCAGTGACCTAGGGGTAAAATGAAAAACTTTAAGGATCATAGGAGACAGTATGGGCTCAAACTTAGAAGGCCTGTCTTATGGCATAAACGAGTTCACAAATAAAGCCAGAAAGGTACAATCAGGAAAAGATAACATTGACGAATGGGACCTTTTCAAAACCTAGCCGTATGTGCATCAAAAGCTTTTTTAAATAGGATGAAAATAAAGCCTGCAGACTGGGAAAAACCATTTGATAATCACATCTCAGACTAGAGTAACATAATGGAAGAAGTTTACAGAACAGGGGCTCCACAAGAAAAAGGACTGATAATGCAGTAACAAGTTGTGGAAAGACTCTTCCCAAAGGAGGACATCGGATGACCAAAAGACAAATGATAAATGCTCAAAGTTACATCAGAGAGATGCAAATTAAAACCACAGTGACTTAACATTTCACCCCAGTAGCAGTAGCAAATTTTAACAACAAGCAATACATGTTGGGGAGGATGTAATGAGATTGAAACTTTCTTGCACTGCTAGTGAGATTGTAAAATGGTACAATCACTCTTGAAGGCAGTTTGGTTTTTTCTCAAAAAGTTGAACACAGAAATCCCATTTGACTCAACTATTCCAAGGACATTAAAACTGAGACACAAGCAGACATATGTGTTGCTAGCAGTGCTATTGACAATAGCAAGAAAATGGAAACAGCCCAAATGTCCATCAGTAAATAAACGAATTTAGAAACTGAGGTGTATTGACAAAATGGAATACTATGCATCACTAAGGAGCAATGATTTCATAAAATACTATGAAATACTATATAATATTTCATAACATGGAGAGTCTAAAGGGCTTTATGCTGAGTGAAATGACTTGTGCTCGTAAGCACAAACACCGCATTATATCATTATCGTAAAAATAGGATAAATTAAGCAAGATGTGCATAACTGTTCAAAAGGGGAAGAAGACAGGGTGAAAAGGAGGAAAATCAGAAATCACTAGAGTAGTAGAGTTTAGTGAGTGGTAGAGTAGATGGACTGGATAATAATAAGTATAGATCAGCAGTCATTTGTAAAATACTATGTATACGCATGATTATATAAAATACAATTTAAACAAAAGATTGTATAAGACACAATGTATGTGAATGAAGCACAATTTATACTAATTATTGTAGGCAAACTAATAAAATATAAAAAAGAAAAGTATGCAATCTTTCCCCCTTCTGGGAACAAAAGATATTTCAAGTTCTAAACAACTTTCAGCTCCATTCTTTTATAATATCACACATAATCCTATGCATTTTTGCCCTTGGAGCTACACAAAAGCTCTGCCTATTTGCCTTGTACTGTAGGAAGCTTTTCTAAGTTTGTTTAATTTTTTTTAGAAGTTTAGTTGAATATTAGAGAGAACCTTGTATGTTTACCTTACAATGTTATTGTTGTTGATTGCTGTCAAGTCAAGTATGACTCATAGCGACCTTATGAACAAAAGCCCTGAAGCCCCTCTACAACTATCAACATGTATCAAAGTTCTTAGAGTTTCCAGAGGCATGTTGTTTGGGAAGTGGATGCCACTCCTGCTTCCAATTCCTTAATATATCAGTCAAAAATAATTAAATTTTTAAAAAACACATTTTCTCCCCAAGCATATACAGTCGTAGAAGGAGAAAAATTTGGGTAGAAGAACCAATATGAATAGAAAGGATAAACTATTGATTAACTCCATTGGGTTTTAATTCAAAGAAGGAACCCAAGGATTAGCACAATGACAAACTTCTCTGTATCCAAAGGAGTTGTCAATTCACAAAGAAATGACTATGTGAAATCCTAGAAGACTGACAACCAATAACCTATCTCAGTTATGTTTAATCTCAATGCAGTTTGTTGGTTTATTCACAGACATGGTTTATTCATAGACACGACTTCTCCCACGACCCAGTTGATTCTGTACACCACCATGTTGACAGTAGGTCACCAGATCACTCTTTAGATCACATGGTTTCCACCCCACCCCCTGACCTCTCATCCTTGGACTGAGGAAATATTTATCTACAGTATTTACTTACGGAGACAATAGTAAAAACCAGATTGACAAAGCCAACTCCAATGGTTGCAAAAACAGGTTTGCTAATCCCAGCTACCTGGAAAATGCCAGTTGAGTAGTAAAAGATCTGAAAAATGAAAACAAGTTAGCTTTAACCAAGGAAGCTCGAAAGGATAACAAGCAAGAAACATGTTTATTTTGAGTTGTTTTATTGCAACCATGTTACTTGTGGTTGTTAGGGTCTATCAAGTTGGCTTCAATTCATAATAATCTTGTGTACAAGACCATGTAACTACCCAGCCCCTTGCCATCTCCACAATCTCTCCATTGTTCTCACAACTGTGTCAGTCTGGCTTGTTGAGGCTCATCTGTTCTTCTCAACCATGATGTTCTTTCTCCAGGAACTTGACTTTAGAACATGACAGACTAAATTTCAACATCCTTCCTTCTCAGGGGTACTCTGTCTCCACTTCTAAGAGAGTCTACCAGCGAAAGAACATTTATAGTGCTCTTTAATGTTTAATAGTATTTGATTGTTTGAAAGTCCTCCTTAGTTGAAAACTCTGCTACTACATTGTCTTTATTTTTAAAGTATATTTTTTTACTTTTTGTTAAAGTAAAACATATTTGCAAAAAAGATACACAAAGCCTTTCACTCAAGTGACAGTAGAACTTAAAAAAAAATGCTCATATCCTAAGGGTTTCACAAACTTTACTCTGATAGTTTCCAATCCTCTAGAGACCCCTATGTTTTTTCTCACTCGTTGTTGTTGTTGATTGCCTTCAAGTTGAGCACGACAAAAAGCCTGAAGACCCTCTGCAACTATTGACGTTTATCAAAGTTGATAGAGTTTCTGGAGGCATGTTGTTTAGGAAGTAGATGGCACTACTGCTTTCAAACCTATCATAGAATGATATTGATCGAGTCGCCTGGGATGCATAGTGACTCTCTCTGTACAGCAGCTCTGAACCCTTCCCTGTCCTGAGCCAGTCTCACTAATTCTGACACCCCAACCCCCCATTGTCTCAGTCACTGTATCAATCCATCTCATTCAGGGTCTTCCTCTCTTGCGCTGTCCATCTGTGCTTCTGAGCATTATGTCCATTCTTATCTTCACCAAACTTCTTTCCTAGCTTCTACTACCACATGAAGTATTGTCTAGTCTTGTGTTTTCATATAAATGGAACCACACACTATCTAGTATTTTGTATCTAGCTTCATTAGTTTAACATTCTTTTTGTGAGAATCACTCAAATTATCTCTATTTGTAGATGATTTATTGATATATAGGATTTTCATGCTAAATTTAACCCTTCTGTTTAAAACAAGTTATTTAGGGTGCTAGTTAGGGAATTTATAAATACTGCTATTATGAAATTTTAGTACAATTATTTTGGTAAAATATGTACTCATTTATATCTAGGACTTGCTTAACAATAAATGCTTCCACATGTTTTTTTTAAGAAGTTGTGTCATTTTTACGTTCCCACCAGTCATGCTGAGAAAAAAGTGTTATTGCTCTAAGTGAGACTCATTGCTGACTCTCTTGTTTTACAGAGGCTTAAATTACATGTGAGGAAATTGCCTATCATTTTTCTATAGAAACATGGTGGATTTGAACTGCATGCTTTATACATGACGACACAACTTCTTATCATTACACCACTAGAGCTTTCTGGGACAAGTAGAGTTTGAGCAAAAAAAAAAGGAAGCCCCTCAGTGAGATGTATTGCCACAGTGACTTCAACAATAAATCTGCACACACAGGGGATTTTGAAAATGGTGTAGGATAGGGCAAGATTGCTGTTCAAAGGATCACTGAGAGCCATAGTCAATCTGATGACACATTACAACCGCTCACAAGGACCCCTCCTGTGTGATAGAGAGACACAATGTTAGTCTAAAGAGTAAGGCGTGACTAATCCAAGATATGGCCTTCCCAATTGCCTACTACTCTCTGAGCTGGACAATGACTAAAGATGTCAGAAGAATTGACACATTTGAGCTGGGGTGTGGAGAAGATGATTAACATACAATGGACTGACAAGCAAACAAACAAGTCTGGCTGGGAGAGAGTGAAGTCAGGTTGCTCCTTGGAAGCCAGGGTTATGAAACTCCATCTCACACATTTGTTGTCAGGAGGAACCAGTCTTTGGAGAAGGCTATCACGGTTGGAAGGACAGATGGTCAGTGCAGGAGAGGAAGCCTCTGAATGAGATGGACTGACCCACTGACTGTGGCAATGGGGTAAGTTATGTCGGAGATGGTGAGGTTTTCTCAGGATAGAGCAAGGTTCAGAGCCACTGTTCATTGGGTCACTATGAGTCATAGTCACCTCAACAGCACATAATAACTAGTTTATTAATCACTTAGTTGCTGTTTCATTTAATTCACATTTTTCCACTACTAGTTTTTGTTCAATTAGTCTTCTTTTCCCTCTTTTGTATTTATTATGACTTTTCCCTTTTGTCTTAATGTACCAATAGTGCATTGATTATATAGACAATTTGGAATTTAGTTGAGACCATAGAAAATAATGACTCACCAAAGGACAAATACTACATAACATCACTGTTATAAAGCAGGTCTGACATGAGGGTTTGGGAGAATAGCATAAGAGTGGATAGATAACGAACATTGCACTGGAATCGATGAAGGAAAGAACTGTTTAAAAGGAATATATGGTTAGACATTATACATACAACAACAGCCCAGAATAAGAGGTACATTGCAAAGAGGACTGGGTGGAGGAGGGTGGGGAGGGAGGTATTATGCAACAATGAATGAATATTTAAAAAAACCAAAAAAAGTGAATTGGGCAGGGAGGGAAGGAGAGGAGGTAAAAATGTCCAGCAATGAATGAATAAAAAAATCTAACTTTTCTGTAAAATTTCATTAAAATCACAATTAAAATAAAAAAGTTATATAAAAAGAGAAAGTAATGACTCAATATATTTTTATGCTAGCATTTATTTTTTGAAATTTATTTAAAGTTATTATCCACTCCATCCCATACCCCTAATTTCACTTTGCTGTGAAGAGTTAGGAAATATCCCTAAACTTACCCCATTGATTCCAGAAAATTGCTGGGCCATATGAAGCATCAATGCTACTAGAATGGCTTTTCGGTAGCTGGGATTTGTGAAGAGCTGTTTTACGGTGATTTTCTTTTCACTTGATGCTTCTTCCTTTTCTTTTTTTATCTCTGTAATGTCTTTGGTGACATCCTCACATCCTCGGAGTCTTTTCAAGCCTGTTTCCCAAAATGGCCAAGTTTAACCAACTCAGGTCAAAACAAATTTTTTTCTTTTATCAATGAAAGAACTACAATTTTGTTTGCTTTTATTTTTTATTACTTCATACTGTGGGTGTTGGAAATTATTTGAATTATTTTTTGTTAAATACTGATCTCTGACTTTCAAAAAAAAAAGCAGAACATTTAGCTTCCTCTTGTGACAAAGAAAACTATGATCTTTCTTGTCACAGAAGTGTAAAGCTGTAAACATCTTTCAGAAGCTACTGACTGAGCTCAGTACCCTCCGCTTTGGCTTCTTCTGTGGAATCGAATGAATACACTTGTGGGTTAAAATTAATTTGCAGCATTCACACTAAGGTGGTTATGCACACGCTTCTTACGTGTAATCACTGGCTTCATCTGGAAGGAATGAGAACGCATTTCACAAGTGACCGTTCCTGCACTCTGTTTTGCATAAGCTGATAGTCCCGAAACAAGAAGAAGAAAGACAAAGAAGCCCCAGCCTTACTTTTCCGCGCTTCGTCCTCCTTTTCCAAGCTGATGTAAAGGTACCTGGGACTCTCCGGACAGAAGCAGAGTAGCACAAACTGGAGGACAGCTCGCACCGCAGACAGGCCAAGCAGGATGTGCCACTGATCCTGGTTGCCCAGGATGGACTCAAGGCCAACAATCTGAAAAGGCAGGCAGAAAGCATTTCAAGGTGCAAAGCGCCGAGGCGGCCTCTGCAACAATTTGTTGAAGTAACATTTTGATCATTTGCCATTCCTAATGACTTTGCTTCAAGTGTTCACATGCTACAAATGTTACTGATATGTTTCACTTTAACTAAATTAGGGACTTCTGGATTTATTTTTTTTTTTTAAATAAAGAATCTGCTTAGTTGATTTCAGAACATGACAGGGACATTTAAGATAGGAAATCAACCTACTTTTTAAGAAGACATTTGCTCTGTAAAGCAACACACAACTTGTGATGACAGTCTTCAAGTCATCACATGGAATGACATGGTAGTAAAACTATGAGTAACTTTAACTTTTATTTGTAAAATTTATTCTTAGAGGGTGATGAGAGAATATCTGCAGTGAGGACCAGGCATGTGACCGACTGCCCGGTGCCTGGTCCTGGGGCCAGGATTCCAAGCACTTCTGAGATCACAGGGTCCAAGGGAAAGATGGCATGGGGCGGCAAGCTCCATTCCAACTGATCAGGAACTATTCTCACAATCATGTGCGCATTACATTTCCAGATAAAGGCTTAAATGATCAGCAAATGCCCCAAGTTTGAAGTTTTCTGTTCATTGAAACCCACATGCAAGAATTTAATTCTAGAAATAGCGCTGGAAGTTCAAGTCTGGGTGATGCTTGCCAGGTCCCGTCCACCACCAGCTCCACCAAACTTCCAAGGAGAAAAAGTAGAAGTAATAAAAATAAATAATA